CCGCGTCCTGTGTGCAGGAGCCATAACTTTTGTTGCGTTTGCTTTGGGCGCTTTGCGCTGTAAGCGTCATTCTATCTTTTTCTCGCAGGTAATGAACGATAAAGATAGAATGATGCTTAAGCGCGTAAGCGCCCAAAGCGAACGCACCAAAAGTTACCCAACTCGCAGCACTGATCCGGAGCGAATCCATTCTCGATTAATCGCGATTAATGCGCGAACGGTCGCGCGTGCGTGCGGCGACGGCGGTGGCGCTGTACAGGATTGCGCATGCATGGTTTATCGGCTCGCTGGAGGGGCGTAGAAAGGAGGCCATATTGTACAGTTAAATTGAAAGAACGAAAATAATTGTATCGCTGTGCGATCGCTCCTACGTGCGTCCGCGCCACTCCGCCGACGGTTTCCCCTATTTTTATCGCGTATCGTATCGCGAGGACGGCCTGTCGCTCGTAATCGCGCGCGGCAGCGAGAAGAGCAGCCTACGGGAGAGCCAATCGGCGGCTCCTGGCCACCTTCGTCTTTGTATATAAGCCATACATCGCGCAGTAGTACGGCTCGAGCCTAGGGCCAACCCGACATCGGCTCGCTGAAAGGTGCTTGTTGCTGTCGTCGAGATGGGCACTCGGGACGACGAGTACGATTATTTATTTAAAGGTAAATCGCGCTGCTCCTCTGTTTCTCTTCACCTCTTTCTCTCTCTCCCTTTCGCCTTCTCTTCTTCTCGTTCTCTTTCTTTCTTTCTCTGTTTCGTGTTCACGGACACGATCGTCACGAGTGCTCGAGAGCTTCTTTTCGTAGCCCTTAACATCGGGAACGAGGCACGCACTCGAGGAATCGTTTTGATTTTATGACTAAGCCGCGTGCTGTATAACGTCAGCTCGAATGTCAGTTCGCATGGACATAAGAGACGGGTCCGCTGGCCCATCGACGGCGATACGCGCGCGCGATGACATCAGAGACGATGACCCACCGCACGAAGATGGAGAGGAGGCTTACGTTTGCTCATCGCACTTACGGGCGTCCTCCCGTTCTTCTGCCCGCGATATCGTAGATTTGAATTTCCTCGATAATAAGGATGTCTCATCGCATCCGCCGATTCCCGGGCCTTCCTCCTCCTCCTCCCTCTTCCTGCACTTCCTTGACGCAGCCCTCTTTGCCCTAACTTGGCGCAAGGCTCTCTTTCTTCCGCCTCGCTCGAGAAAAAAAATAATGCTGATATGCGAGCTATGATTATTACATTACGTATGTAATTGAACGGTCAAGCGCTATATATGTATATGCATTGAATATATGCGCGATGCCTGATTGCGTGTCCGCGGTGTTACTAGCCGCTGTTGTGCTCGCATGTATGTGTATGTATGATGTGTGTGTGTATGTGTATATGTGTATCGAATGTGTATACACGCATGTGTGCGTGCGTGCGTACATTTGCAGTATGTGCGGAAGTTTTTTTCGACTCTGTCATTCTGCACTTTCGAAGGCAACGGCTGTTGCCGTGTGTACCGATTGCATCAGTTTCCCGGCAATTTTGCACTTCCTCTCCAATCTTCCTCTTCCCCGTTTCATCGCGAATTCTTCGTGACAATAAACGTTAATGAATTAATTGTATGTTCATGGGTGTAGACCGTATCGCACTATCACTCGGTGGGCGACTTCCATTAGCTTCTTCTTTGCTCTTGACCCTTGACTTCATGAGAATTTAATGTAATCATGTGCACTTAGATCTGTCATTGTCGTGATTCAAATGCACAATCTGATGTTGCCTAGTTAGCCATGTCTTTTTGGCTTATTTGGGTCTTGAAACATTTGCCATTGTGTAGAAACAATATAGTTATATCTAGCTATTTAAGAATAAAGATATATAGCAAAGACTTAATGCTAATTTGTTTCATTGAGAACAAATTATCATTAATTTTGTAGCCCAAGTAAATAATAATAATTCCTATAACAAACGAATGGATATTTATAAATAAATAAATATATATATCCATTTTGTATATTGACCTCACACACACACACACACATGATGTGTTATATTTAGCATATATTGCATTATATCTTTCATGTTTACATATGTATTATACTTATGCATATGTATTATATATTATACTTTTTGTTAGAAATATACATAGAATCAAAGAAACCAAATACTTATAATACAAATATATTTTATCTTCTCTTTCTCTGCTTTTATCATGCTTTACTTCAAAGATTTGAGTAGTAATCAGCAGGAAAACATACACATGCACATATATGACTCCACTGTATGATGTGGCACTGATTCATTAATTCTGCACAGGAATTTTTAGTCTTGTAGATAAAGAACTTTGTGCAATCAAACTATTAATCAGTACTTTTAAAGTTAGCTATTTTTTGTTATATAATTTTTATATTTGCACTGAACACAATAATATCTGATATTTAATTATCTTTTTAGAGAACTTCTTAAAATTAATATCATAATTATTTATAACTGCTTCATATATAAACAATTTCCATGTATGTACAAAAAAAATATTATTCTACTACTAAGAAAAGTGATTACTTAGTTTACTTTTTGTTCTTTATTAAATATTCTTTATTATATTTTGTTTTTTATTAAATATTCTTTATTAAATATGTCTTCAACAAAGAATATTTTTTTGATAATAGTCTTAAAGGATACTGATTACTAAACTATTATTACACTTAAACTGATATTATACTTAAACTCTCTGATTACTAAACTATTATTACACTTAAACTGATATTATACTTAAACTCTCTGATTACTATACAAAAGAAGAATTTATTTTCTTTACAAGAATATCATAAAACTTTATTGAAGAGAAAGTTCTTTCAATTTTATTTAGTAGATAAACCGAATTTTTGTTTTAATTTAATATTCTTGATTGAAATGCTAAACTTACTGAGAATATGATTTTTTAGGCTTTTGCGGTGTCCATGCACATTAGATTTGGTTTCCGGATTTGAGTTGCGTTCATCTTTGTTTGATTACTGAAAATGTACTTGAGATACTTGAAATGAGTAACATATACTTGAATGCATATACTTGCATTACTTGAATGTAGTATGTGCTTTTCTGTGTATAAAAATTTTAAAGAGAAATATCTTTAATTTTATAGCATTATATTCTAACAGAATATTAATATAAATAATTTAACATTAATATAATAAAGAATTGAAGCAATTCATATAATTATTGTGTTTAACTTGCATATATATATGTCAAAAGAGAAAGACAACATTTCACAATATATATAATTACTATTATATATAAAGCATTATCAATAGATAATCAGGGACGTAAACACTTGCGGGTTCTTTAGCCCCACTTAAAACTCGGCGCTCAAAACACGGCCGTGTTTTTTGGTTATACTGTAATGATAATTATAGTATATTATCAATATTGAAACAGAATAGTCAAGCATTTTTTTTCATTTGTGACATGGTAGCGATGAGAAAAGAGGAATAGCACAACGTTCATTTTAAAAAATTTTTTATTTTTTGATATATTTTTATTATAAGTTTACTGTTAAATTTGTTCCTACGATGTCGCATATATATTATAATAGTCAGTTTTACAATATACAATATATTGTACAGCACAGCATGTGTCTAATCATTCCTTTTTTCTTTTCAGTTGTTCTTATTGGAGATTCTGGAGTAGGAAAAAGTAATCTCCTGTCTCGATTCACAAGAAATGAATTCAATTTGGAGTCAAAGTCTACCATCGGAGTCGAGTTTGCTACACGCAGTATACAAGTAGACGGTAAAACCATTAAAGCCCAAATTTGGGATACAGCTGGGCAAGAGCGTTATCGCGCAATTACTTCTGCGTAAGTTTTCACATTCATATCCTAAATCGTACATTTATCGCAGATTGTTCCTTTTTAATAATGTCATATTATAACGTGGGTTATACATAATATATACAAATTTTGTAAGTCACAATTGTTAACATGTCGACATAAGAATCACATTGACAAATTAATGCAGCTGCTGAAGCTGAATAAAGAGGGAAAAAAAAGACAAATCCTGTTTTTACAATTGGCGCGACACTCGATGTAATTATAAATTGTATCGTATGTGACATGCAAATATTAATAATCCTTTCCGAATTGTTAGATATTACCGCGGAGCAGTTGGTGCATTACTCGTGTACGATATCGCAAAACACCTGACGTACGAAAACGTAGAAAGATGGTTACGAGAATTACGGGACCATGCTGATCAAAACATTGTGATCATGTTAGTGGGAAATAAATCAGACTTAAGGCATCTGCGTGCTGTTCCGACTGACGAGGCTAAGGCGTTTGCTGAGAGGAATGGCTTATCATTTATTGAAACATCCGCTTTAGACTCTACTAACGTTGAAACAGCATTTCAAAATATATTAACAGGTAACAGGTCTTGTTCATGATACTGTTATATGGAGCTAGCTAGCGTACACTGAGCCGATTGTTGAACATCGTAGTTCATGTTAGAATTGTAGTAGATAACATGGTGTATGTTTTCCTGAAGACAATCGCCATGCTTTCATATAATTATCGATGCTATATATGTGTGCCGTGTTTTACATATAAGTTTCTTGAAGAATCATAGGATATAGAATTTACTTTCATGTAATTTTATTTAGCATTAGCACATATTTAATAGACACATTTAGTAAAATGCAGTTCTTGAAGTTACTAACAAATTTTGATTGATCAAATCATATTTCATTCCATATTTTTATATTCTTGTATATTAACAAGACACATATACTATTCCATAATTTCTTAATTTCTCAAGGGAAATTTCATATTGTAATAGAAGTAGAATTGGTAAATTTTTTCCTATTTCAATATCAAAATGTTTATCACACACTGAAACTTCATCTACAATGTTTCTTCTTTTCTTGTTTCTTTCTCTTTAGTGTCGGTCCACAACCTTGCTTTAAGACGTAAACCGTAAGAAATTGACCAACTATAGTCGATTATTTTTCTAAAAATCGACCATGGTTAATTAATTTTTTACGGCTTACGCCTTAAAGCAAGGTTGTGGACAAGGGCTTATCTTTTTCTGATTTAAGTTTTAAGTAACAGAAAGATAAAGAGCTAGAAAGCAAAGAATTATAGATCAAGCTTAAGTGAAATTATCAATATTTCAATACAACAACATGATACGTCTTTTTACAGAAATATACAGAATCGTATCGCAAAAACAGATACGAGATCCACCTGAAGGTGATACAATCCGGCCACAGAACGTAGAACAAATTGAAGTCAAACCAACGATGAATGCCGAGGGAATGCGTAAGCAGTGCTGCCAGTGACTCACCTTGTTGCTTAAAATGTGTGTACACGTAAATACAATATGAATATCACGGAAGTACAGTTGGATAATATATAATTTCTAACAAAAGAAAAAATTTAGTCTGTGGTGCAGTAAGAAAATGAAAAAAAAATTGAAAGTTTCTGGGATAATTCTTTATATGCTAGGATAGATTTAATATAAGGAAATTGTGGTTAGTTAATTATAAATGTTAACTTGATTGTAAATTGAGTTAATTTTTAACATATATCACAATTAAATATTACTAAAGACATTTTCATCACGTTTTTTTATTCCAATTATTTCTACTCTACATACTATTTCCTTAATAAAAGAAACAGTCGAAGAAAATTATTCACCGTGCTTTTTCGATTTTTACCGTTACGCACTTTACAATTCAATTCCAAGTTAGATTTTTTTTTCGAAGTTGCTTCAAAATCAATCTTTTAGGATCATTACATTAATTCAGATCAAATTGGAGATTTATATATAAATAATCCTCAATATTATTAAGCTCTCTCCCTCCTTATATTTTTCTATTATTTTTCTTTACATAGTATCTATAGAAATATTTTTCTAAACTAGCCTTTTCAAGGTCTATAGTCCCCAAGACATAACACATATACAATATTTGTTTAATCGGATCGGTAATTTGTACTTCGATAGAGAGTACGTTAACACACTCACACATCTAAAGTATGTTCGAAGAGAGCCAAATAAAAGAAAAGGTATGTTAATGATGTGTTAGGAGAGCCAATGTATATTTCGTATTTTTCTTAAGTATTCTTGAAATACTATGGTTTGATTGCGCAAATTAATCTGTATTCGCGATATTTTTGTGTTCTAGATCCATATATTTATTTATTGACATAATTCTCTATATGTGTGAATTATAGGTATAATACCCTTAAGAAATGCAAAATACAAATATTTTGTTATAAGTTATCTTTATTTTGTAAACGACTTTTGGTAGTCGATCAGTACCGTCAGTTATGGCATTATAAATCAATTATATTTTTATTATATTTCGAATGACTTCTCTCAGAGGCATATTTCTTATTTGCAGTTCAACTATTATTACAATTTTGTTTATTTTCTTTTACAGAAGCGGTTATATGGCGGAGGAGATATTGGAAGTACTAGCTGGTGGTAGATATAGCAGGTGCATCACAGAACGAGAGTTAAGACTATGTGCGCGAGCATGTAATCTCGTATGCTAGAAGAGGTTTTATCCTTACTAAATTACCAGGACATCTATCAGACCATACGTGAGCGTATGCATTACATATTCACGGTAATAATTAAGTAAGGATAAACATCGAAAGAAAAAAAAAGAAAACTACGATGTACACTGTAAACGCGAAATACACACGCGCGCACCATTCTGTCCGCGAAAAGGAAAAAAGAAATTCATCTTTACTCTCTCTGTCTCTCTATCTGTCACGATATAAATTATGTTATAATAAATGAATGTTGTATTACTGCTTCTTTGTAATACATATATAAACGATTCTTCTTAACGCGTAGCATGATCGTGAGTATGTGAAAAACAATTTATGGTCGTATATGCATTGACGAGTATCATGAACAAGTTACTATCGTGCACTGCGTAGAAGAAAACAAACTAATGATAAGTAATGGGCTTACGGCGAATACGATAAAACGCGGCTGAAAACGAAAAAAAACGAAAAAAAGTAAAGAAACCAGCTGACTCGAGATAGATTTTTCTCGTTGCTCACTCTCGGCTCTTCGTAAATATAGTACTAGTCTGTATAAGCTTGGGCACTACATGCTTCGGAATTAACTTTATTTTTACACGGAGCTTTCCACCGAAACTTCTTACTACCGGTCGAAATTGTATTAAGAACGAAGCTGTATAGTAGGCATTTTTCAAACTTCTAATAACGTTGCTTTCTGTGTGGCTGTACTGTAATGTGTTATCGTCACGCGCTTTTATTTGTATCCTAAATAAAATGGAGAGTGAGTAAAGTGTTGATGTGAAAAACAAAGTATCCACTTCTTTCGATGGATTATGCGAATGAGACCGACGGGTTTTCAATTTACCACTCTTACATAATAATCTCTAGCAAGATTATTGAATAAAAAGAAAAAAGGAGCAAGATTAATAAAAGATAATTATAGTGCATCGTGCGTGCGTTTAACCTGATTTATAGTACGTATAATTTATATATTATCGCGAATTATATAAATAAATATATAAATAAATATATAAATATATATATATATATATATATATATATATATATATATATATATAT